CCACGGCCCCGCCAGCCCCGCGACGGGTGCCGGGGGCGGAGGGGAGCGCGGCAAGGCAGCGAGGGACGCCCTCTCCCTTCCCGAGCCCGGCCAGCTCACCTTGTGGCTCTGGTAGGTCTCGAGCGCCCGGATCGCCGTCTCGGTGAGCTTCACATGCAGTACGGTGATGTTGTCCTGCCCCAGCCGTCCGCACGACAGCCCATAGCGCTGCTCTTCCCGCAGGCCCGCCGCCCCCCCTGCCGCCATCTTAAACTCCCCGGGGTGCCGCCGCCGACGCCGCTCCGGCTCTAGTCTCCTCTGTGGCCGCGGCTGCTCGGGCTTCTGCAGCCGCCGCCACAGCTACGGCCATCCCGCTGCTGACGTACTGTCATATACTGCGCGCAGCCAGACTTCGGGCTGCCACTGCCGCCACCAGCCCCACCCTCCTGCCCCAGGCCCCGCCCCGAGCTCGTCTCACTGGCCCGGCTCCCCGCAGGACTGCTCTCATTGGCCGCCACCCTCACGGGGGCGGAGCCCAAAGTCGCTGGAGTTCAGCTCTCGGGACGCGACGTCCAAGAGGTGAGAGGCTGACGTCGAGGTGACGCGATAACTCAATCATATCTTATGTCACGTCTGGTCATCTTGGCTCACCGGCCACCATTGGCCAGGCCGGCTTGGGGGGGTCCCCCTCCTAATTGGGTGTCCAAGTAGCCTTGTCCGTTTATATGGTGTCGGAGCCCTGCCCCTTGGGGGATAGTAGTGGCTCTTAGGGGAGTCTCTCCCTGAGCTGATGATCCTGAGAGAGGAGGACCCTCACCCTAAATATGTGTCGGAGTAAGGGCTTCGTGCCTCGACGGCCAGGGGGAGCTTTTGGAGACTGGTGTATGCTTTTGAGGGATGATGCACTAGGCAGTAAGTGGAGTCACTGGAGAGCTAGCTGCTCCTCAAAACTCAGTTTAGTACTGTTGTGCAGTTGGGATTGGGGAGGACGTCCTTCTTAGTCTTTTCATGCTAAACTTTAAATTCGCTAGTCGACCTAGACTTTAGGTTTGTATTAGGACATCTTAAGTACAGTACCATGCCTAAGGCTTAAATGCCTTTGGTGTGGTGGGTATATTATAGAAAATTGAACTTAAGGGTCTTTCCCACGCCATGCCCGGTTCTGATCCCATAGGAACCTATTCCGTCCCTCTGGAGCTCGCCGTGGGAGCAGGGTTGTGTGCGCCTTTTCATGGGGGGGCATTCTTGGCTGGGATGGTATCTCCTTTTAAAGGATCACGGAAGAGTAGAACTAGAACTCCACCAAATGAGTTCTGTCCATTTTACGTGACGGGGACGTGTGAAAACCTAGCTAGGGTTTAAGCTATTAATGTGAAGCGGGGAAGATGGGCTGTGAGGGGGTGCGCAGGCCCGGCCTGTTTCCCATTCCTCGCGGTGCTTCGTGCGCGGGCGTGGCCAGAGGAGGAACCGAATCAGGAGCCCTCTGGAGGCTGTGTGCGGATAGACCGACAGGCTTCGCGTCAGAGGGTGAGTTAACTGGGTGATCAGAAACACCAGATAAAGACAAACCATTGAAAGACTTGAAACTGTTGAAAGGCAGTTTTTAAAAATTATTTCTAAAAAAAATATTGGAGGCTTGTTGTTTCCCTCAGATTGTAAAACCTTGTTGCGTTTTACAGGGATTCCCCAGAAAAATTTATAGGCAGTATTATTTCCTGTCCTTTTAAATTGGATAGAGCTAGATTTTCCAAAAAGGTCCAAGTAGGAATTTTTCATGATTTATGCCCCCCTCCACCTCCCACACACCTAAATAAATCCCTTCCTCAGCCCACAGATACACTACCTCTTGATTCAGACTCTCAAGCATTGTGTGTGTAAAATATGAATTACAGAACTACTTCTTCTTTTATAGAGTATGGGTTAAGGGGAAACACCTGTATTAAGTGTTGGTTACATCACAAGAGAGCATTTTTTAAACTGACTTAATTTCAAACCACTAGAATTGGCTAGCTGTTAAGACATGATTAGCACTTGTTAATTTAGTTTACTAGAGTGTTAATGATCTTAAATTCATTGAATAGAGAAAAATTAATTTTATACTAGAATTTTTTTTTCTTGTGTTTGTTTTACTTTGATAGGCAAGTATTTACTTTGACATATCTAAAGCCTTAATTATTTGTCAGGGGGAGGAGTTTGACCAGAACGAGTAAAACCTGTATCCCAGGGCTTTTCCTGTGAAGGTGGGTAAATCCCCTCCCACATGGCATCTTAATATTGCCTCCTCTTTCTCAGAACTTCTGAAGACATCCGGGGTGTGGGAGAAGCAAGGGTGGTTTTCGCTGTAGTTTTCAATTGTCTGACTTGCAGCCACTTTCTAGTAATTGATTTTATTTTCTTAATTTAAGAAAAAACTTCTCATGTCATGTCCTATTTTAGTGGGTAACAATCTTTCAAAGGGTAATCAATTAATGTAGTGGGTTAGTGTTTGCAGTTTTCCTCTTTTGAACTTTCCACTCTGGAAGGAAGCAAGACCATATACAAAGTAATACGGTAACCTAGTAGTGTTGCATAGTACACGGTTATACCTTCCTGAATCAGATGGGTAAGTTGTCATACTGATGAGGGTAATTCCTTTTGAGAAGGCTGATGAAAGTTGCTCTTTGGGAAGTTCCCCATTTTATAAATATTTTCTGTATTATTATTCAGTTTAAATAATTAACAATCATTGTATGCCAATTAAGTGTAAAATGTTGTGTGGGGGGGAGTTAAAAATTAAACAATGTAGTATTTTATTTTAAGGAAATTTCTGTTTAATATAGCAAATGAACTAACATACCCAAAGCAAAGCAGTTAGAGAATCAGTAAGTGCTAATATGGGTAATAATGGTGATAAGCTCAAAAAATCAAAGAAGGGAGAAGTCTGGAGAGGTTTGTGGAGGCAGTGAAACTAAAAAATCTCTCAAGGACTAAGAAGATTCTGGATAAGTGGAGGTGGTATAGATGGGGAGAGGCCAACTAAAAATTATCTTAATGATCATTCTAAGTGAATGCGAAAATTGAGACACCTTTCATTTAAAAGCAACTAGCTGTCAAACTTAAAATTTAAACAGCAAAGATTATTCAAGCAGCAAATGAGTTTGAGAATAGCAGAGGAATTGCAATTTGGGGCATGCAAACTATGGTGAACCATAGGCAAGTACGAAGAAATAAGAGGGGTCAGCTTTTATTGGGTTTCAGGAGGAAATTGGGGAGAGTTGTTTTGAACAGGAGCCTATTGGTGGGAAAGAAGAGGTCGAGGTTGTGGCAGTTTTTTATTGGCAGCACATGGAGAGCAGTCACTGATGCTGAGGCAAGCAGGGAAGAAATCTTTCTGCTTGCTGGCTATCTAAGCTTCCATGAGTGGTAGTGCATGAGAGCTCTCCTTTCATAGCATCCTGATTCCAATTTGAATGTTCCTTTCATTCATTTTTACACTACCTAACTTATTACAAGCAGGAGAGACAGGGTCTGAATCAGCTGTTTACGTGTCCTTCTAGTCACTATATGTACTGAGTAGCTATTATTTGGATTTAATAACTAAAGAAAAAATACATAGTAATTCAATGCAAGGAAAAGGCAAAAAGCAAGTAACCTGATGCAGAGCCTGTTCCAGCTCTGGATATCTATCTTACAGTTCCAGCAAGAGGACATGTGAATATCAAGGCCTTTGCTGGCCTTCAAACATGGAGCCACCCCTTATTCTTGGTTGCTACATACTTACTGACCATTTCTCACTTATCCTTTGGAGCTGAGATCACCAATTCAGATGCCTTCATCAACCATTAGGTACACAAAATGAGTGAAGCAGGCCAGACACAATCCCACCAGAACTGAAGGTGCTGGCTTGTAGTGAGCTGGGAGTGTTTGAAGGGCTCAGTGGATTTTAGGTACAGCTGATTATTGCTGGGTGAAGATGCAGGGGTCCAGAGTTGTCCAATCTTCTCATTTTCAAGAAAAGCTGGGAATTGCAGATTTGTTTTTTATTTGTTGGCTAACTAAAAATTTCAATAAACATTTTGTGGGCATTAAGTCTTTGGGCCCTGGCTGGTGTGGCTCAGTTGGTTGAGCACCATCCCATGCACCAAAGGGTTGCTGGTTTGTTTTCTGTCAGGGTACATGACCTGGTTTCAGCTTGATCCCTGATAAAGGGGTACAGGCAGGAGGCAGCCTATCATGTTTCACTCGCACATTGATGTTTGTCTCTCTCTTTCCCTCTCCCTTCCCCTCGCTCTAAAAAAATCAATAAAAAATATTACCATTTGCCTAGTTAGCCCATAGCTTTCTCATTTTCAACCTCTATTTTAGTGATTTTCAGTACAGAAGGCTATACTGTCTTATACCTGTCTTGTTTTGTGAGTTATTTCTTAAGGCCACTTACAAAAAGTTTGTATTAATGTCTTAATACAAGGCAATGTCTTCTATTATGATAAGAGAACACAACGTCTTATAGAGTTATAGCAGAGAAATTCTCTGGAAGAAGAATTTCCAGGTGGAAATCCTTTCCCCTTGGAATTCTCCCTGATGCTTCCTGCCCCATTGTGCTTGACTCAGCACCATTACACTACTCTCCTGTCAAGACTTGACTAGGTCCTATGCAAAAATCTCCTCCTTTCCTTGTACACAGCTGAAGTAGGAGCTTGATGCTTTTAAAAGAACTTCACTAAATGTTTATAGAGAGTAAAAGTGACATACCTACAGGAGGGACATAAATATTTGCTGCCTAAGTACAGATTTTCAGCTGGGCAATTACTATATCATATATGATTATTTTTTTACTCCACTCCATTTAAGTGTAAGAAATGTCACATTGCATTATTTATCATAATCATCATCACCATCATTAAATCTGACTCTGAGTACCACAGCCTACCCC